CACCGATGAGGATTGCTGTATGCCTCTCTTCTGCTCGCAATATGAGACCAAGGCACGCCGCCGTGCACAGTTTGTTCAACAATCGCATGGGATTGAGAGGAGGCATCAACAGGCAGCTCAAGAGCTGCTCGATTTCGTTTTCTCCACACTGCCTGGTATGCAGGACTTGCACAAAGGGTCGCTTTCTCATTCTCGAGCTTGGTCCGCACGGGGTACCCCGTGGATCCCTTTCAATGACCCCAAGAACAGCAGATGTGTGACTTGACTTGTTGTCCAGGTCGTGATTGACCAATCACCCCCAATTTTACAGCCCTTTGGGTGCCGTTTTGATACATTAAGAGGATCATTAGAGGATCAGCTGTTCGCTCGATCTGCGCTCCCACGTCGCATCCAGTTGCCCACGAAGTGGAAACGAAAGCCCTCAGCTTTGCTGGGATCCACCGACGCGGAGTGCTACGCCACTCGGAGTGTGTCCTCGGGAAAGACCGGACCGGACCGGCAGAGATGGAGAGGCAGGAGACATGGGGCGGTGATTCAAACTGCAACAACTATGACAAATAAGCATAAATAAGCTGCAAAAGCCACCAGATTTGCACAAGCACCGCAATGTCCCAGATGTCACATGTTCTCTTATGTTCTAAGCAGCTGATTAGATGAAAGCATGCTTTCCTGGAAAAAAAAGGGCTCCTTTGATCACATGTACCGCCAATGGACGCCAGCTTTGCGCATTGGCCCCATGGCCCCACCAGAGTTCATCACAGCCGACAAGAAATACCGTCCCTCGGCGAATCGCCACGAAAACCGGTCCCACGTCGGCCGTTGGGGAAAGCATTCGGCCACGTCCAAGGAGCCTGTGTGGTGTGCTGATTTCGATGGTGTGGCTGCCAAGGGAGGGGGAAGAACGAGGACATCGAACGAGACGCTCGATCGTCTCATGGTCTCCCGCCGACAGCGACAAACGTTCATAAACTGCTCATGTGACAACGACGACAGGAGTCCCCCCAAAAATAACGATGTTGGATTGTTCACGTGCAAGAGTCATATTCAAAATCACAGGATATGAGATGGTATGAGAGGCATTGACAGTGCAGCGGCTTTCCATTTTCACACGAAGGGCCTCAACACCGAGGCTGTGGCGGCGAAGGGCTCATCGAAGATGCCAAACACAAGCAGGGCTCGACTGCCCCCGAGTGCTGTCAGGTGCGGTCAATCTCAGTGCAACGCAGGTGACGAAGGTGCAGGTCTTGGAAGTATCAGCACGACCATAGCCACGCAGGTTGACACAATAAATGAACATGAGATGAACATGATGATCTTGGAAGTGAAATGAGTGAATGATTGACTTGTTCACTACTACATACGAGAGGAGGACCTTTGTTCCAACATCTAGAAGCGTGCAAGCTGTTTTGGAGGCGGTGGAGGAGAAGGCGGTGGAGAAGACCAAGTGAAGCTGAGTTCGCTATATAACGGGCTCTTGGTTTCACCGACGTCAACGGCGGCAAAGGCCACCCTTGTAGTCAAAGAAGGCCGGTGTGTTCGACGTGGTTGTTCTTGTTCCTCATATTGAACACTTCTCAAGGTTTGCTGCACTCAACTGGCATGCCGATGTGATTTCATGAAGCTGGCATGTGCTTAATTCAGCATCAGCCTGTTTCAGCCGTCAAACACTGACAAACACCTCTGGGCCTCGCGAGACGTGACAGGCCAACAAGTTTTTGCCGTCGTATTCGGTCGCAGTCACTTCACTGTAGCTCCAGCCGTTGCCGCAAAGTGATGGCCTCCAACCTACTGTAATAGCTTCTTCCAGTAGTAAGTCCAGGAGCTACTAGTAACGTCCTTGCTCCTATAGCAGTGATGCCCTTTGCTCCGTTCGTAGCTTACATTGCTCCTCAGCGCTTTGATCTCACGTCCGTTGCTTCGATCTCCGAGGTGCTCTGAGCTCTCTTTTTTCTCCCGTCGACATGAGTGGAGCTTGGCGGATTCATCGTCACAGTCGTGGCTGTGCAGAGAAAACCCTTGTGCAGTCGGTCTCCTTCAACCGGATGTTGCGATTGACGCACCGAATTCGATGGTCACGGCCGGCAGCGCGAAGAACCGAAGAAGCCGAATCCGAAGCACCTGAGGCTTCATAACGACATGTTTTGCAATGAGAGGCTTCATTCCCACTTCCGGCCGAACCAATGCAGTGCCATGCAGTACCGCCAAAGGCGGCTGCTCAAATCTTTGGGCTATGGCGCCATCCAGAGGGCATTGTTGCAATGTCTACGATTCACGGTGATCATTCACGGTGATGCTTATATAAATGGATGGTTTTCCTTACAGTGGTCCCACTTCACCTTAGGTGATTGTCCTCCGCTATGAGTGGTGCGCCCAAGCTTAGAATGCAACCGGAACCTCGGGCACAATGTTTTTGGAAGGAAACTAACTGCAGCTATTCTGGTACAGGTCGATGCTGTCGATGCTCCTTGAAATCCTTGTTCAAAGATGTGCATGCTTTTACAGTAGCAACCAAGGCAAAGCATGGGTCACCACCGCAGGAATCTTGAAGCTTGCTCAGCCAAGCCGAGCATCAGCTTCAACAAAGCAAGCCGGCATCATCTTCAAATAATGCAGTGCTGCAGGGATTCCAGGCTTGTGCATGCGTGTACCGAACATACCCCCCCTTTGCCTCCAGAATTCATAAGGAAAGCACTTGGAAGCTTGACACTTTGTCACATCCGCAGCTGTTCAGCACCACAACCTGATCCCATTTCTCCGCCCATGGCTGAGCTGGTCGAAGGACTTCTGCCGGCCTTGCTGACCGTGCGCGTGCGGAAGGCCTCGGGGGAGTTGCTGGAACTGCCGATGGGCTCGGGGGACACGGTCAAGGACCTCAAGGCGAAGTTGGCCGAGCTCCGGAAGAGCACGCGGAATCGGCATCGAGTGATCTTCGAAGACAAGGACCCTGGCCTGGTCAAACGGTGGGACGAGGATCAAAGACGGAGGATATTTTTTGCGAGTATTTGAAACCACGCCGCCAAGCCTCCAGTAGTCTGGTGTTGTCATGTGTGAAGTATTTTTGGTCTCAACGGAATCTTTCAAATCAGGGTGCTTGGATGATTGCATGCTGTATGCCATCGTTCATGGGGAGGAAAAGGACTCGCCGTGGTTTCCTGCGAAGGCCGCCATGATCGATTCCACCACATGGCCATGTGAAACTTACGTAGTAGGCCTCTGAAATGATTCCGGGAAAGGGTAAGAGTCAGCCGAATTCGGCTGCCGCTTAACATGGTCGACAGCTTCGGTCGAACCAGCTCCCGCTCCGGTCACCACTGTTAGACTTTCATCTTCGTGTCCAGGAGCTGGAGTCGACGTGCCATGGTCTTTGTGTCAAAGAAGTTTTCCTGTCAAACCACGGGAGACGTTCGTTTTGAGACGAGACGGAACACGTCACGTTTCGACCATCCTTTCACCTGCAGCGCTTCTTTTTGTGGAAGGTTTTCACTGGCAGATTGTGGTGAAGCTGAGTTGCTGTGGATTGAATCGCCAGATATTCTGAAAGTCGAAGGTATCCCGGACGACACGGGTGCTAGCTGGTTGAACGGAGACTATGAGCGGGTGCCTGGTCGTTTCAGAAACGAAACAAGACAAATTTCACGGGGAAGTGGGATGCAAACGGGAGGGCTTCCTTTACGAACTAGTTGTGTGTTTCTTCCTGTGCAAACATCCCAGACGCCCAGGCCTACCTTCCTCACCAAAAACATTCCAAAAAAACCATTCGGCCAGAGGACTGCAGTCCAATTGGGTGGGTTTGGGTAGAAGCTCACAAGGACGCTACTAGGGGCTCCTGGCCTTACTACTAGTAACAAGAAGCTACCAGTAACAAAGGGCATCGCTACCAGGAGCAAGGACGCAACGAACGGGGCGCTCCAATTTTGTGCGAAGGAACCCAAAGCTCACTGATTCCCCAAAGGTGGATGATGCTGAGCTTCGCGGCTGCGCCATTTGGAAGTCACAACATGAGCGCCAGCCATACTTGTAGCTCGGCTTCGACCAAGCTTTTTCCATCTTGTTTTCTTTCTTTTTAACCATTTTCAAGCTATGAACGGCTCGACTCGACGCGTTTGACATGTGTGCGCGTGTTTGAGGTACAAGCATGCGAGCGATGACGTGTTGAATTTGGGCCCTTCGGCCTCGGGCGACCTTCCATCCCCATCAGACCCGCCGAACTTTCGGCAAGGCTTTGCGTCAGGAACACCTCCACCTGAGACGGACCGTACCCATGCAGTGGGGCGCTCGGGCGTTTCTGAATTTTCAGGCTAGTTTTGGGGCCGAGACTCAAACTCAAGAACAGTCTGGTTCAAGTCCTCAAGTCCTCATCTTTGGCGATGCTCCTTGACGGCGGTCGCCCAAGTTCCCTGCGGTTGATCGGTTTTCATTCCGATGAGGCCGCCACTATCGGTTGGAGGGGCCATCGCTCTGAGGCCATCGCTATTAGGTTATATAATGCTCTAAAGGAACAACATAGATGTTTTTCCTTGATCGATGATATCCAAAGGTCCTTTTAGCCTCAGATCCTTGCCAGGACCAAGCTTGGGAGGGCGATGCTCAAATCCAACAGCAGACCTTTTATCGGTTGGATTTTCGCCACCGTTTGTTTTTACATTTGTAATTTTAGGGCTGGTTTGGGGTTCAGTGTTTGGTGAAAAACGTCAACTCTCATTTGCATGTAAGGCGGTCTATTTGTGGCTTAAGGCCTGCGAGTCCTTCCCCGACCAACCGCATGGTGGAGCGCATGTGGTCGCGGGCTCTGTGCGCCGGAGCAGCTGAGAGAGCAGCGAAGGAGAAAAAAGGTAAGCACAGCACATGGTGCCGTCGGGAAAACAGACCATCATCCAGCACCCACCACTCTCCAGGTAACCACTTCTTGCCTGAAAAGTGCTTTTGAACACTTATTGGGAGGTTTGCGACGTTAACGAACCATCCCATGATTACAAACCCTCAAGCTGCTTCAGCTGCAGGCGGCTTTGCTCTCCAAGACGGTGCCTGCTTGTTACCGGGACCCGGTCCTGGTGATCTTGGAGGCAAATTTGGGTCACAGGAAAGGCGTTCTGCAGAAAAGACAAGGCGGCTTTCAACAGGTTCAAGATGCTTTCAACGCCTTCAAACCATCACTTGTATCTATATATCTCCCTCTCGGAGAAAAACACACATCAAATATTACAAAATAGAACGCCCCACATTTTTACGGCAAACATCCCGAAAAAGCAATCACCCAAAAGACGCTTGCTTCCACTTCGCAGGGGGACCGCCTGGCGCCCGTGAAGTATGCTCGCAAAATCCCAGGCGCCTGGCCCGCATCCGTCGCCACCGGGCGCACCGTCGGTCACCGGTCTGCATCGCAGGTCTCACCACTGGCATTGAGATGATGCCAATGGAAGGCGGGGTATTTGCTTTAGGGCCTTAGTCAGCTAGCTTTGTAGCAGGTGCTTTGTTTATGGGTTCGGATGGTATCGTACATTTTCAGTGTATGTGCCCAGTTCTGAGGTTTGTTCTTTTACTTGCGGTTGGAACTCTTCTCCCCTGACGTTTCTGTTGTGTTCCCCTCTTTTCAGTGAAGGCTCTTCAGCTGATACCTTGGCGGAAGAGGTTGCAAGCTCAGCTGTTGCAAGTTTGTGCTTGTTTTGGTGAGAAAAAAAACCTTCTGATTTTATTGCATTTTGCGCCTGCTCCATGGTCCTGACAAAGCTGACATCTCCATCCATGGTCGATCGTGTTCAGCCAACTCTGGCTTGCCGGTCATGTCAATTAATATCATGAGTTATCCTAACACATGCGTTCTACGAGCTCTGGCCAAAGGAGAGACTAGTTCGTGTTGCCAATGGTGTCCCTTTGTGGCCGGTGTAGAAGCAAACACCGCGTGATTGCCCGTTCTTGAATTGGTGCCTCAGGTGTGTGAGGACAGATGAATCACATGCGCCGAAAAGAATGCTCAGTAAAGTCTTGCTCATGTGCACTTGGCACGCGCAGGCATTTTAGTCTTATAAGCCTATCCAAGCCGATGCTTGTTTACTACACGCTCTCATGATTTGGAGAGCAGTGAAACCACGGTGTACTAGTGACTACAGCATAGACACGTAGTCAACGGTGATCGCTCTTTACCCGGCTCTTGCAGTTTGCTTGCCTCACGAGCTGAAGATGTGCCTTGCCCAAGCCAGATGGCTCGAGCCGTGGGTCCATGTAAAGAAAGCATGGGACATCGGTACATCCTTTTGGGTCGATGCTTTACAGAATCTATTTGATTCTACGCTAGTAGGTTGGAGGCCATTTCCTTTGCAGCGCTTTTCGCTATGGGAACAAAGCCTGCTCTGACGGTCTCATTATTCTTTGCGCGATGGCAGTAAGCCTTGCTCCACAGTCGAAGCTTCAACTTGACGAAGCAGGAGCTGCTCGTAAGATAGACACCTGAAACTTGCCGTTTCATTTCGCACTATTGATGAGACGTCTGACCTCTGACCGCGAAAGCGCTCCAGGCTGGCAGCTGCTTTCGAACGATCTACAGTTGAGCGGCAGGACTTTAGAGGCCAGTGCCGCTTCGGCGCCAGAGCTGGATCCTGATTCACTTCTGTCTTGCAGGTCTATCGTACACAAGAAGGGTCCAAAGAACTCCTTGCAGAGAAACTGGATTTGCGAGCAGCTGAAGTTGAGAAACAGGAGGCAAGGTCTCAGCCCGTTGGAACTGGAATTGATTCAACACACTGTAGACCAATTGTAGGCGATAGGAGCAAGGACGCTACTAGTAACAAAGGGCATCGCTACTAGGAACAAGGACGCTACTAGGGGCTCCTGGCCTTACAGTTCCGTCTCGGGGTCATGGGACATGTGGGACATGCAAAGAATACCGCCATGTCAAAGAAAGCGGAAGAGAGGAAGAGAGGGAGAGGCCAAGAAGCAAAGCAATAAGGAATCAAGGATACCAGTGATTTCTTCACTTGTTTTGTTTGTGTGTTCTTGTTTGTTTGATGCTGTCGTTGGCTTGTGTTGCGTTAGTCCATTAGTCCTGAGTTCATGTGAGTCCTACCAGGCCATTCACCCATATTCACCGATATTCACAGCTGTACCTTTTCGGTGGACCGACACGACATGTCATGCGGTGTTCGATTATGTGATTGAGGCGATAATGAGGCGTTTCATGTTTTTTTTCTTTTTTAGATTGTTTTTTACGATTCCATGTGTTTTTCTTTCCTTTCTGTTTAAGCTCTATGTCTTTCCCCCAGCCATCTTTTTGAAAGAAGGACCATAGGGACATTGGGCACCGAAACACGAGAAGAACCGAAGGACGGAGCGCGTTCCAAGTCGAAAGAACACGACCGTCTCAGTCCCTTCGGACCTTCGGAGGTGGAGTCGGCTCGTGTTCCGTTCGTTTTTGGCCACCTGGCGCGGCACTCGGTTCGCGTTGGTTTGTCAGGTTGAGGTGTTTGGCCTCGGCACTTGGCCTGGGTACCTGCTGAAGGGCGACAAGTACCGCTTGCGCTGGGCCTTGAAGAACGAGGCTGCCCTGCTGCAGGTCGAGGCACGATGACACACGGCGACGGGGTAGACGATGTGTTGTTCCTGAGGTGTTTAATTTCTGTTTGGATTCGGATTTCCATTTCTTTTTGTTGTCCTTTTGTTTGGAGGTAGGGCCTAGTAGGGGCTGCCGGAACAACAACCCTTGGTGCCAGGTGGACGAGTGCGTGGAGCATTTCTGTACCTTGGTTTTGGATCGCACAGCCTCTGAAAACACAGAAAACATCAAACATCCTCAGCAAGTTGGTTGATAGCATGCTGGTCAACATCCACTTTCCTAATGATTATCACGTGGTCGGTCGGTCTTGTATGGACAGTCATGATGGCTTTCTATCACCAACCTTCCTACGTGAAAGACGCCCGTCGCAGGCCCCTCTCAAACATGGCCCCTCTCAACGATCCCCTCAACCCGAGGTCTCCCCTTTGAAGTGGAGAAGTCTCAGGACCGGAGACCAAGGGAACGGCCCAGCAAGTGAGCGACACCAAGTAATTCTTCATGAACACATCTCAAGCAGGGACTATGTGATAGAACCCCCTCCAAATTCTTTGAGGAGCCCGTTGGACCAGGTGGTTCAGTTTTGGAAGATTCTGAAATTGCCGAACAAAAACGAAAGCCGCATATCCTTGCTGCTAGTAGCTTCTTGCTGCTAGTAATGGCCTCCAACCTAGTAATTAGCTTCTTGTTACTAGTAGCTACTTGCTCCTAGTAGTACAGCCAGGAGCCCCTAGTAGCGTTCTTGCTCCTAGTAGCGATGCGCTTTGCTTCTAGTAGCGATGGCCTTGCTACTAGTAGTATGGATTGAGGAAACTCCAGGAGTGACTCCTTGTTGCGCATACGTCGACAGGAGTGGCCGCCGTCAGGGGCTCAGGAAGCAGCGAATCCGTGAGACGGCCTCGGGCCTTCCGCCTTCGGCAAAAGAAGAAGTGGTGTGAAAAGGGGTTGTGAACATTCAGAAATACTGATTCTGTAGAGGATCATGGAAGAGTGTCTCCAACTTCCGAAAATTATTGAATCAGAATGCTCCAACTTCGAATTTTGTTCCGCTCAACGCCTTCGGGGAGGGTTTGTTCTTAATGCCGCGGGGGGGCTGTTGCGATCAGTAACAGGACGCGTGTTCACCGTTCACCCAATTAAGCGACAACCCCTGGGAGAAGCACCAGCCAGGCACAGCGGCACAGCCACACATAAAAAGAGCCTTCTCTGGAAAACAAGACACGACGATACACGACGTCAATCACCGACGTCCGGTCTCAGGCACTCTTCCGGCAACCGCTGCGAGAGTGCTTGTTGGGAGCGGCATGTGAAGCGATCGCCAACGCACTCGTCCATGCTGGTGGGGGAACCCTGGAATCGGATGGGTTTGGAAGGGTTTCTTCGCTAGCAGGTTGGAGGCCATCGCTAGTAGGTTGGATGGTTTTCTGGATGGGTTTCTTCGCATGTTTGCACCATAGTTGCCCATTCTCATCAGTGGCTAGGTCTATCCCTGGTGATGTATCAGCAGACTGATGGGATCTGGGTGTAGAGCTGGCAACTCGATCTGGACAGGTAAATGGCTGGCAAAGCTTCGGATTTAGTGGCTCAGCTGTGTTTGCAGGTGGGTTTGGTGTTTGATGCAGCAAGGCCAGGTTTGGGTTTGGCTGGTTTCAAGAATCTCAGCGAATTTGCAGGATGCTTAAGCCCTAAGTGTTTGGGTGTATTGAACCATATTGAACCTCATTTCAGATTCTGTGTTTTCTTTTGATGTGGCTAAAGCATTTGGACCTTGGAAGATTGCTAGTCCAGATCTGGACTTCAAGGGCGTTTGACAGGCTGTTGCAAGAGGCTGTGCAGAATGCTTTAATTCAATCTCGTTGGCTGAGTTTGTCCCGTGTTTTTCTTTTTTTTTCACCATGTCGTCAGGTGCTTTGCGAAACTCAAGTTTCCTAGGTGGGTGACGCATGTTTCCATGCTTGGAAGGTTGGAGGCCGAACGTAAGTTGGAGGCCGTTTGATCCGAAAGCGCGAAAGCGCGATTCGCTGCACGACTTTAGAACAGGTCGCTCAACGCAGCTTTTCTACGACAGCAGCAAAGTATTACATGCCTAGCTTTCGCTCTCTTCAGGGCTTTGCAGCCGCAAATGCTGCGGTGTTCAATCACATGCCTAGGCATCGCGCATTCAATAGGCAAGTGCAAACTGGACATGATTTTTTTTTGTTCATGCCCAGGTGGAGTGCTGCACGGAGCGGTACCACAACCAAAGACCTCGATGCCCTTCTTCTCAAGTGCCTTCCACAGTGGCGCGGCATTGCCTCCAGGAGCTCCGGTTCGACAGAGGGCTAAAGCTCTAACTATTATTTCTTTGTTGTGTCGGAGAGAGCAGAGAAGGTGAGTCTTAAACCCTCCCCAAGACTCAGGACCCATATCATTTTATTTTCCGCAGATGGCCTTTGGCAGGATCTTCCCTCGCATGCGATCGAGAGGTTCTGGTCAGTGATTTGTATCTTGGTGGCAGCCGGTGACACCAAAGTGCACTCGGATTCTTCTGTGGCGTATGTGCGTTGAGGTACGGCTACCTCTTCTTGCACCAGAATGGCTGTGATGCACAGAATGGTGGCGTGTTGGCTGGTCATTTGGTGTTGCATTTGCAGAGGGGCATCCGGGTCTTGTTGGAACTTGGAAGCGTGGAAAGCCAAGTCGCATATAGGCACTCCTGCCGGAGAGAGAACATTTGAGTCTTGGAGATGGAAGATGAATAGGAAACACACAGAGCATTGTAGATACGTGCTGTTTGAGGAACTGAGATGACTTGGCGATCTTGCCTGGCACGCTTTGGTGGGTGAAATGGATTTAAATTTGCTTTGGATTTGCTTTGGTGCCTCGCCCGAGGTTTCCTGAGTCAAACTGCGGGATTTGGAGGTTTGGCCGTGTTTCGGCTGCAAAATGCGAGGCAAAAAACCCAATGACTTCAGCAGGCCCACCGCATTTGCCAGATCTCAGATTCCCAGACTGTTTGGATGGAGAGCAACCACGTAGAGGCAGTAGAGTCTGGAACCTGGTCAAGGTGGCCTCAAGCGAAAGTCCGCTCTTGGCGCTCTTCAGCGAACTGCAAGGTGAAGGGCGGCCAAGGCGCTAACAGGGAAAGTGTCGTAAGCTTTCCTCATCAAAATGCGCAGAGGAATGGATTTAAGTTCACACGCAAATCAGCTCATTATATAATTCCATGATATTCCATGAGCATTCCTTCCAAGGATGCTCGCCACATGTTGGAGGCTGGTGAGGAAAGTAAGCACCTAACTACTAACAAGGAAGGGATTCTCCAGCGTTTCTTCCCATGGATGATGCCAATTCCTTTTCGGTTCTTGTATGTTCTTGCGGTTCAAGACCGCCAGCCCGTGCAGGGTCTGCTGCCCTGTGCATGCATTTGCCCTTGCTGTTTCGTCTTGCGCAATCAAATGGCATCAAATTAGACTAAGCCGCCTGGTCTCCGACTGCAGGGTCTCCGACTGGTGCTATATTTGCACCAGTGGTGGAGGTGTTGCGTATGACCGAGTAGTCCAAACCTATTTGGAGACGTTTCTTGGCCCAAGTTTTGGCTTCGGCTTGAGACGTCCTTTAGGCAGGCACAACTGCACCGCAGTGCAGAGTCCGCAAATGTCCGCAATCTGCGCTGCGTTCGACGGCCCAGGGTTTCTGTGGTTCGTTCCCCAACTGAGTTATTCTGTAGATTCTTTGGGGTGAATGGATCCGATGAAGAGCGATGCGAACGGACACACCAAGCGAGGAACCGAAGTGCCTTTATTGTCGAAATGGATCGCATGGCCCATGGCCCCAAGGGCCACCATGTTCCGAATATCAAAGAGGTGGTGCCATTCACTTCCAATGAACATGTTTGATGATATTCAGACGAAATTGGGTGCTTTTGAGCGAGGCTAGCGAAGCATCATGGGATGCTGAAACCCAAGCGACAGCCAGTAGGCAGGATGGTCGGCACGTTGGCACGTTGTAACATTCTATTCATTGTGGCTTCGAATCGAATTTCATTTGAATTTAAGCAGCAAGAAGCTACTAGTAGCTCCTGGCATTACTACTACTGGTAGGAACAAGAAGCTACTAGGTGGAGGCCATCGCTAGTAGGTTGGAGGCCATTACTACTAGGAACAAGAAGCTACGAACATAGCGATGCCCACGACTTGGTCGAACTGTTTCGGAGGAACTTCGGTAGAATGCTCGATGTGCTCAGGTTGGTGTTCTTGGTATTGCCATGGGCCTTTTGTGGATGAGCTCTTGATGATGAATCTTAGCTCTTTTGAGGAGGGGTAGGCCGGTACATAGCAGAGGGAGCTAGCAAGAGGTAGGTAGCTAGCTAGCAAGTACTAGCAAGTACTAGGTACTAGCTTGCTAGAGGTAGGTAGCTAGCAAGTACTCACAGTGGATGATAAGAAGAGGTGTGGGAGGTGGGCGTCAAGCGGAATTTGTCCAAAACAAACTTCGCAAATGGCACACGTTGCAGAATTTCTCTTGACCCATCCACCTTTTCTCTACCTTTCTGGACTATAATGAATTCGCTGAGATTTGTTCGATTATCTAGTTCTCTTCCACACAACTTAGTGCTGTAGTTCACATGATCAGGAAGGACTCGAAGCACTCGAAGCATTGAACTGCCTTCGCTTTGTTCACTTCATTCACCTTTTTCTTTTTTAAGGCAATCCTTAAAGGAGTTGAAGTCGATGGGCTTGGACAGTGGTGGCCCAGCCGAAGTGTTGAGTGCTGAGCATTGCTGAGTGCTTGCTTCATGCTTCTGCAGATGGCGTCATGCGCTCTTTGTATCTCTTTGTTCTTTGTTCCAGCACTTGTGGAAGCTTGCAGGAGTGTTTCTCCAGACTTAAAAGGATTTCATCATGCCTCTTATTTGGGGCCGGCTGCGTGGCCAAGCCTTGACCACCAGGGCGGCCCCCATAGACAGCTTTTGGCTGATGAGATGATTCTTTCGTCGGGATGATGTCCGCCTCAGGCGAGCTGTCCTTGGATCTTTTTCAGCTGGATGATGGCTGGCAAAGCGCTTGGGGAGATTGGTTACGACCCAATGCAAAGTTCCCGAGCCTTGGTTACAACACAATCGAAGTGCATGCGCCGAGTCAAAAACAGCGACATGGAGCGACGAAGCTCTATAAAGGACATGGGCCTGCTTTATTCTTTTCTGGGTTTGACGTTTTGGAAAGCAATGCAGAGTTGCTCATGTTGCTGGGGAGTTGGCTGAGTACATCCCCAAAAATTTGTCTCCAAGCTTTCCACGGCTTCCACTCTGTCTGCATTAGGCTGCTGCTAGTACTTGTAATTACTGTATGCTAGTAACAAGGCCATCGCTACTAGTAACAAGTGCATTACTACACATTACTACTAGTGACAAGAATCACTAGTAGGTTTGAGGCCATTACTTTCAGTAACAAGAAGCTACGAACGTAGGCACATGGTTCGAGGATCTTGGAAGAAGCATGAAGCCTACTGAGCCGTGAATACCATACCTCCGACCTCGAGGTTTCGATGGACTTCCTATCACAAGTAAACTAGCCCAAGGTGAAAAAGACACCAGAGCTGGATCCAACAAAGTTGACGGTTGAACACCTTTATCATGGTTGTTTTTTGTTTATGTCCCAAGTAAAAACATGACTCCATGTAGAGCCTGGAAGGCGATTGTCATGAGTTTTGCGTGGAGAACATCCGACAAGCGATCTCGCAGGAATGGCTTGAAGCCCTTGACCGACGCAGTGAAAAAGGATGGTTTGGTGCCCGGCATTTGGTTGGCACCGGCATCCTTAACCTTGGGCTCTCGCTTGGCACAGGAGAGGTGATACAGAGGTAGGGTGTGGCGTGACTAGCAAGGTCTCTTGCTTTGCAGGGGTAGCTGTAAGTCTTTAAGTGTCACAGGAACTTTGGAGGGAAACAGAGGTTCAGAGAGGTGTCAGATCGACTACCCTTCAGGGCTGTCCTTTAGTATTGTGGCTTGGAGGTCAAGTACCGGTACTAGTACGAGCAAGGCCATTTCGAGGGACAAAGTAACTTCTGGAGCTGCGGAGGGGAACTTAGTTCAAAGTCGTTTAAGCAAACTTGTGTGTAGGGATGTAACAAGAAGTTATTAGAAACAAGTGCATCGCTACTAGTAACAAGTGCCTTACTAGTGGTAAAAAGAAGCTACTAGAAACAAGTGCATCGCTATTAGGATGTTTGCTTAAACGACTAGTGTCCGAAGCAAGAGTGGATCCTTCAGGAGCATCCAGAGTGGATCCTTCGGGATGAAACCGGGCGACACGTCTCTTGTGGCTTCACAGCACCAGGGTTGCTCGGAGCAAGTGATCCTAGTTGGCTCGATCTCATTGCATTTCGAACAGGCCAACAAAGTGAAGCTAAGGGACTTGTGTGGGTAAACTATCATCCCTCAAATTAGGTTGGAGGCCATGGCCATAGCTACTAGGTTGGAGGCTTCGCTACTAGTGTCCATAGAGGCATTTGGCTCTGACACCACAATGCCAGGCTTTGGATGCGCGCCTTGGACACCACGATGCCAGAGGTCCTAGCGACTCGTCAAACCTTCACACCGGCCCTTACCAAAGGGATGGCTGAAGGATGCTGAAGGTCTCTACTAGAAAACAAGAAAATCTATATGCTTGCCACATCGTACCTCCATTTCCAGGTGTTTCAAACGATTTCGTTCCACGACTGAACAAAAATCCTTGACTGTCGAACCATGAAGTTTTCGGACCTTCCTGTTCTGGTGTATGACTTTGGTCTTTTTGTAGCTTGGAAGCGCTCTCAGGAGCACATACGGAAGACCATTCACACCATCGTGCACGAATGGGGTTTTCGCTATTTGAAGCAACTGTGCTGCAATCAGTCTGGGGAAAAGTCCATCCTCATCGCTACTAGGAGCAAAGACGCTACTAGGGGATCCTGGCATCGCTACTAGGAGCAGGGACGCTACTAGTACCTCCCGCCCAACAGATCGATTTTGATCTCTTCTTTGTCAGAGCCGATCGGACCGGATCAAGGGAGCTCAGCTCTCGATCATCCGCTGGCGCCGCAAGAAAACTAATAGCCATAACCTCCAACCTAACAGCGATGGCCTCGAACCTAGAAGCCATGACCTCGAACCTAATAACAAGTTTGCTTCGCGTCGCTTCGCTTCGAGGTGCGATTTCCTCCATTGTGCCGCGATGCCTGGAAAGCGCTTTCTGAAGGTCAGCCGTGCCAAAGCGTGCCGGATGCTTCTAGAGGCAGTGCGGGAGGCCGCAGGAGAGGATGTCTTCGTTTTAGGCGCGGGGCATGAAATCTGCTTTGATTTGTTTCGTGTCCTTAAATTAGAATCTCAGCTCTAGACTTGCAAGCCTGTCCTGGCCATTTCTGTAGGTCGTGCAATTAAAATGCACGGTTGAGATGCATGCTTGTCATGATGGCTTGAATCAATTGGGCGTTGCAGTTTCAACATGCTGGCGATCAAAGAAAAAGCACACATTGCATTTCGCAAACAAACCCTGAGCTTGTGGTGCCCCACTGGGACCTTGCATTGGAGTGGCCGATGCAGTTCGCGTTTCCGCAGACACTGCGGAGCACTGGTTTCCGGTTGGGCCACTTTGAAGAACTCGGATTAGTGAGCAGTTCTCAAATTCCAGGGAGGTTTGTAACATCAGTGCATCCAATTCTTTGACTAGTCATTGATATTTTTGTGATTGCTGGAAGCAAGCCGTCAGTTTGCCAGTTGTGTATTTCCAGGGTCTTTATTCACCCACCGCTTGAGGCCAAACGTCTGGGGCACACGATGGCTTTTCAAGCAGGATCGCACCAATCTGCCTGCTGCCAGGCAGGGCCAACAAGACACCCAGACACACAAGATCACACAAGACACAAGCTTGGAGGCCATCGCTAGTAGGGTGGGAGGCCATCGCTAGTAGGGTGGAGGCCATCGCTCTTAGTTCTCGCCCCATTGAGACCCCACAGATTGGAGGCCTCGTTGAAAGGTGACACCTGGAGAGTTTCCAGTTGGACGGGTCGCCTCCAGGAATATGGTTTGCAGTACCCTCGCAAGGATGCACATGAACGGCCGGCTTTGGGTCAACGACCCGGATTGCTTGATTATACGAAAGGAGGCTGGTAGGGCGGGTGAGGGCTTGCCACACTTGTAAGTGTACAGGCGATTGCAAAGCCAAATACAGCCAAGCATTTCATGTAGACTTGCAAACCCAGATTTTCTCTCTGATTTGATATGTGTTCATCCTGAGCTGATTACAGTACTGAGCTGGAAGAACTTCCTCGGTCGGCCGTGTCGGTGGGTCGATCGGTGGGTTGATGACCTGCGCTAGGTGCCTCTGAGCGAAGCCCAGGCGCTCGCCTCGGTGGTGGCCTTCAGTGCTGGCTCGGTCATCTTCTCCGATGACCTGAAGTCGCTCCCGAAGGTACAGAAGACGACCGGGCACACAGCTCCACATAGCTCAACCCCTTTTTAAGGGCCCGGCCCGGGTTGAAACGGCGAGTTTTATGTTTTCGTTTGGAATCTGGAAGGCGTTGTGTTCAGAGAAAGGTTCAGAGGGGTCATGATTAGAAAGCCTTGTCTTTCTGGTCAGAAGTACTTAGGAGCCTGCCTTGGGGATACTCAGGCGAAGAACTAAGTGTTGAAGATTGTTGAAGTAGAATTGCTGTACCTGGGCCTCACTTGGTTGATTGACACTATATATAGCGTTCTCTTTAACGGCTTCTTGCAGGAACGCCTGGCAGTGTTGAAGGCCCTGCTTCCACCGGTGCAGCCAACTGCACAAGACGTCCATTTCACAGATGGAGAGATCCCTTGCAAGGCCGAGAGCAGGGACTGGGCAATGTGCATGCAATTGGGCATCCATGCGCTGTTGAAAGACTATCACCGTCACCGTTTGAACTGCTGCATCGATGTTGGGTTTTGGAGCTTTGGAACAGGTGAAAAAGCATTGTTTCGCCCAACCCATTCTGGCTTCATCTATTTCGCGGTGCTTTCTTTCGTTTGGGTCGTGGATTTCTTGGTGGATCCAAAGGTCACTGCGCATCTCACTGGAGCAGCGGGCGACTGGAGGCTTTGCGGGCTTTTTGCTTGGGACGGCGGCGAGGTGGAGCTGATGTTGGACGATCAGGTGGAGCTGATGGCGTCATCCTTCAACAAAAAGAATGAAAGTCTTCAAAGGATGTCAGCCATGGAGAATGGAAAAATCATTGACGTGCTGCGTTTAAATTAACGTGGGTCTAGTATGGATGTGGCCACGTGTCACTTCGCTGCGTTTTGTAGGAGTGGCACGTTTTTTGAGTTTTGGAGCTGCAGCTACCAGCGACATCGAGGTGGAGGCGAGATCTGGGGAAGTATGAGGGGCCAGAGATCGGCGTCGACGACGTTAGAAGACGATTTGTTGTTTGCAGAGAGAAGGGCACTAAAGATCATTTTAAAGGCATCTAAAGGCAAAAGGATGCTAAAGGATGCTAAAGGTACGACGCAACGGAGATAGTGCCACCAAGACTTCGGACGAGATGTCCGTTTGTTGAACAAGCTGAAATCTGACGGGTCAGGCCTTTCCACCGGCCCGTTGCTGCCTCGAACGTGCCACCTCTATGCACTGCGGCCCGTCATGAGCAAGGCCCAATTCCTGGGCTCAAACATCCACGTGCCACAGCTGAAAGATGAGAGGCAAAAGGGGGGGAGAAGTCAAGTCAAGGCGGATCAGATCTTTCAAATCTCAAGCATGAATTCTGGGTGCCAAGCACTGCATATCGATTACGGAATGTTGGAGTCTATAGAAGTCATATGATTTGATTTATTAATCTATAGTAATGTCTAAATAGCCATGAATAGAATAGTCATTGTGTTCTATTTCATGTGTGTTCCTTCCTTGCAGTGCTTTGTGACGCCATCCTGAAAACCACCCGTCATTTGTTCGTCATGGGATCCTTACACCAAGGTGTCCTGTGGACTTGAAGTCTGCGAATGGGAGGAGGCATCTCCGTCGGAGACCGGACGTCATTTTCCGCCGGAGGTCGAGCGTGAGGCTCGCGCGATGATTCAAAATTGGTCTCTGGAGGTGCTTCCATTTGGGGCGAGATGGGAGGATTTCACTGCGTCAGGAGTTCCTTTTGGTGTGGAGCCCACTTGAAAGCCCTATATCGCTGTTTCAACCTAAAAGACTACCAAACCGTGAAAGATGCCTTCAGCCGAGCGAAGTGATCCACTCATCACAGGCTGAGCGATCCTTGCGCTTCACCTTGAACGTGAAAAGATCGTTGAACTCGCCCGAGGCAGGGCTCGGTGGGGCGATGGACTGGATCCCCACGTCGTGTTTGGGGTGCGTTGGTGGTCACATCACAAGCCCAAGAGTAGATTGGCTGAATGGCAGCGCTGACGCAGTCATTCACACAGTCTTCACAGAGTGTACATGTTGCAGTTTGATATCTGGCTCAAGGTTTAAATTGCAAAGACCGGAGGCTCAATTGTTCCAGTTCCTCTCACGGCATGCTGCGTGTGGTGAGCCTTTGTGGAGCTCTTTGCATTTTGGCCAGCATCCTTCAAGGTTGTGGCGATGAGGTCCCCGATCCAGCATGCTCCAGCTACAGCAAAGGCGGAGCTGGAGCTGTCACCGACGCAACGACCTGTGACACCGCTTGTGACAAGGGCGAGGGCATCCAGACCACGAACTACGGTGATCATGAGTTCTATGGCACCTCGGGCTCCGGAATGTGTGAATGTGTTGTAAACGACAGTGAGAGGCGCACGGCATGCAAGGATCCTGGCTATTCTGCCTGAGTTCCAGTGCATTTGATTTCGTTGTCAAGGCAGATGTTCTAAGACATTGACAAGGCCGAAAACCCAAAAGGGTCAACTGGGCCTGTACCAGAAATTCAGGACTACGAACTGAGAAGCCAAGATTGCAAAAAAGGGACGCCTGGAAAGCTGGCAGAAAGCATGTCATTTGGGCCTAGCAATTACAAATGGTGTCCAAAACAAGAATGCGGTACACAAGTCCGAGGCCCTTCGGTCTATCATGGTCTATCAGTCGTTTTGGAAGCCCCGTGTGGATGGCTGCCCAGCCCAGGTTTGGATCTTCCTGCCAAAGGCTTCACAGCCGCGGCTGGGTGGAAAGGAGGTGCAAAACTCTTCATTTTGTTTCTGGGAAAGTAGTGATAAGGAATTTCAAGAGGCCATCGCCATCGCCAAGTTAGGAGTTTCAATGGTAAAGTCTCACTAAGGAGTTTCGTTCAGTCGTTCGAGACTCAAGACCGCTCTGAAACCGCAAATCGCTTTCCTTCTCAACAGCATATCCTATTTTTGAGGAGCACACGAATGCCGCAGACCAGGTGTTGCATGATTTTTGCAGCCAGTGACTTCAACCTTGTGATTTTGTCTCATACAGATAGGAGCCTCCTGACAAAAAGAATGGTCTTTGCCATTTCATCTCAGTCCTTTTGTTCAGGCGGTGCCGGTACACGAGCAGGCACGCGATGTTTGCACATTTGTTCAAACTCATTAAGAAAGGTGCGGTGACCAACATGACGACTGACAGTTTTTTTGAAGTAGGTTGGAGGCCATTGCTTCTAGGTCAGAAGCCATCACTATTAGGTTGGAGCCCAACGCCATTCGTTTAGCACCAGGTTTGTCGCGCCATGTGCAAATGGACGTCCAATCTTCCAGGTTTGGCGCTTCGTGCTGGCGCCGGTGCCCCTAAAAGGGTCAACGCTCCAAATCGATTGGTGAAAGACGCCCATTCAGAAATCCAGCGCAGGGTGCCAGGGTTGCAGGCCTACGAACACAAGTTGCAGTACGGTATCAATGGCCCCCCCGAACATGTGAATCAATGTGAAGGTTTGGACCTAAGCAGTTGGGGACAGACTCTCATTTTTAGACACGTCAACACATGTTCCCCACATGTTCCCCCTAAGTTGCTGTGTCAATGGAAGCTCAGCTGTTTCAAGATGATCCAAATTGTCAAGAACTGTTTCCCCACTCATTTGCAGGGTGCCAGCTCTGTTGCCCAAGAAACTTGCTTGTTCTTGTATGTTCTCGGAGGATCTTTGTTTTTTCTTCATACAACCGCACTACATACTACTCATGTGCAGATATTAAAAGGCTGCCGCACCGGCGCCCCAACCGCCACGGTGTGCGTGACAGTGCAGGGTGTTTGTGACAGCTGATGCTCAAGCTGACACGCTAAACCATTTGAACTAAAACGGTGACAAGTGACAACATGACTTTGCAAGCCAGTGGTGGAATGCAAGACTGGAAAACAAAAGCTAAAAGCAAAAGATTTCGAAAGTACATGCTTGTGTTTTTTGCGGCAGCCTTTGCGATGTGGACGTTGCCATGGAGGAAGAGGAGTTGGTGGAATTACTGCCGCCTGAGTTCACCAGAGGGGTTGTCCTAATGGACTTTCAATGTGCTGTTGTGCCAAAGGCGGACGATTCGATTGTTGAAGAAGCTACTAGTAGCTCCTGGCCGTACTGCTAGTAACAAGAAGCTACAAACGTAGCTCCTGGCATCGAAACGAACGGAGTGATCGGACGCTACGAACGCTCCGAGTGTCCGTCGTGTCGGTCGTGTTGGTGTCGTGAGGCCCTTTGCGGCGAGTTGCTGAAGCTCCTGGGCCCTCTGAGCGAAGACTTGAAGCACCTCAAGCGGGTGAGGTCGGTGAACACGACGGAGGTCGGTTCCTTCTTTTTCCGGGTGGCTCCACGTTCAATGGGTGCGTTTTTTGTTTGGGTGTCGCCCAACTGCACAGATCACATCCCGGAAATAGGATCCAAACCACCAAGGACGGGTGTCTTGTGTCACATCGCATTCGGCTGTTGAAGAGTCCGGGTGTCTTCCGAACGCATTCGGCTTTCTTGTGTTGTGAATTCGTGTGACCTATCAGGTAGATGCGACTCTAAGAATTGATTCAGAATGATTCATATATCATATTAGTAGAGAAAGAAACATCGAGAATGATCAGAAACGCTCCCGCGAAGTGATGAGAGGCCAGAAGGAACAGATTTGGCTGTGCTCCTGACAGAGACGCCTCGAGAAGATGTCTTGCAGTTCTTGCAAAACCGAGAGATTACGGCTGTACCTCGACCTCTCTGAAGATGGAAACGGCGGATGTGGAGGGTCCAAAGACAAGATGTTCAATAGACGACTTGCTTCTGTCTTGCAGCATGTTGCTCCATTCTGCAAAAGTCTTAGAAAATTGAATCTTGGGAAGCACACATGCTACGATTATCTGATTCAACAGATCGTTTTTGGTGAAAAATGTCCCTTCCCGGAGAAGCTCGGGTCCTTGAGGTGCTTGAGGTGCTTGTGCTTGAGATTCTTAAGTTGTTTCGTTAACTTGGCCACCTTTGTCGTTCAGGCCACCGTGCAAGTTCCGCGTTTTTGCCCTTTGACTGCTTCGCAGATGGAGAGCTTCTCGAGGCGAGGTATAGCGATGTGAGTGATGAGAGTGATGCACATCGAGAGCGACCTTGTCGTTCTTTTGAGCTCCGAGGTATTGGCCGGTGAAGAAATTCGTCCCATCCTTTCAGCCTTTAAAGCTCACCCAGGAGACCAGGGCTGATTGAACCATGTGGAACCTATCCATCGTGTGAATCTTTTTGTGCAAAGTACGGCTGATGGGCGTTTGAGCACTTCATTTTAATTATTATCCTTCCAACCAAATAGCGATGGCCTCCCCCTATATAATAGCGATTGGCCTCCAGCTAACAGTGCCCATGATTGCGTTTAGTTGAGTTCTGTTCTTTGTGTAAGAGTGTTCGGGTAGGAGCCCACGTCGGATTTGAATAGTTCAGACATGCGTGACAAAAACTCTCCGTGAGTATTGAAATGTTCCAGATGACAGTTCCTTTCCAGAAACTTGTGTCAATCACTGATCCCATGATCCCATGTGTAAAGGACGCTGCTGGGGGGCTCCTGGCCTTACTAGGAAACAAGAAGCTACAAACGGGGCTCCTGGCATCGAAAACGAACGGAGCGTTCGGACCAATCAGCGGAACGGATTCCGACTTCAGGACCTGAAGGCCCACTTCGGGCATCTCCGGCGCTTGGCCGAGGACGCTGGTGGCGACGCCGGTGGCTGTGCGATGGCAGATGCTAGTGGCCGCTTGTTGGTTGCGTGTGCGGCGTCCAATGGGGTGCTCCAACATCCAGCCATGGTGGCCATTGCCACAGTGGCAGAGGATGCACGCAAAAGGCCTGGTGCATTTGGCAAAATACCAAATTCAGGAGTAACAACTGGAGATCGATGGATATTTGAAGAATTTTGAAGAGATCTGGGAAGTTCACTGTAAGGGCATGTTGCATGCTCGACTAATTTCCATTCCTTGATCAAGTGCAGGTGCCCACTGCCTTGTTTTGCACCTTTGGAGGTATGCGGCACAGGGAAAACGCTCGAGAGAAGAGGAAGATTATCTTTGCCAAGATTGCGATGTGGTGCTTACACATGAGCCGTGCATCATGTGTGCCATGGCTTTGATACACTCGAGGGTGCGAAGGATTGCATTTTGCAATGAGAACACTGACTTCGGTGGTTTTGGAGGCCGAATTGCCCTCGAACAATGTCCGAACCTGAATCATCATCCACGCATCCTTCGCTGGAAAATTACTATCCAATAAATTTGCCTTTTAGAGGATTTACTTATTTATATTAGATATATTTTCTTAAAGTATCTTAAAGTTGTTTAAAATACTCTTAACGAAAATAACATATATAAATATTTCCTAAACAGACACTAGGGGTCCTTACGGTGGTGGTTGAGGCCGAGTGTTTGATCGAGGGGTGCGTCGGGACGTTCGGCCAATTCGTTGTCGAGATGTTCGAAATGCATTTCGATTTAAAGGCTTGCGCCTGACAGCCGGGCGCCGGCCGACATAGGAGAGGGAGGAAGGACATGGGGGGAGTAGGGGGACGGATATCAGAGACGCACACTCTGACATTGGTTTGCTGTTAACTCAGTTCCCAAGTCAAAGAAAGGTGGTGGAACAGAAAGGCGAAGAGTCCAAGCATTTGTAGGTGTTTGAACAAAGTGGTTTCACACTTGACTGCGGAAGCTAGTTACTGCATTAGCCCTTTACTGTAAGAACGGTAAGGTGCAAGGGTCCGAAGTACAGAACTGTTTAACAAACGCACTAGCACTTTACCAAAGCAAAGGAAACCTGTTTTGGGGGATATCATGCGAACAACCACCATGGAAACAACAAAAGGAAAAGTGGAGTCACAGCGTGTGCAAAAGTTTTCATCCGCGCAGATACAGAAGTTTGCGTCCAAACTTCCATCCAGTCGATTTCCCTAGCTTCGTTGGCGTGAGTAGGAAATCGACCGTCACGCCCCCTGCGACTTAAAAGTTGAGAAAAACAGAAACTCTTAGTTACAGAGGTGGACACACACAGAACGCCGATATCGGCGCTCTGGGGGAACTTTCTAATCACCTAAAAAGCCTTAGAGCGAAAGGAAACAAAGACAGAAAGGAAAACGCAAAAGGGAAGAGAGAAAGATAGGTGTAGTGACAAGGCCCACTAGTTACGAAACCTGCTAGTTACTGACTACTTAGCCGCACGGCGGGACATACGTCTTAAGCCGCCCGGGTAGCTAGGAGTAGAAAAGGAGAAACAGAGGGAAAGGTACCGACACACAAGTGTGTCGAGTACCATTTCCTTCTGTTACCCTTGATAGCGGGTGGGAGAGAAACACGAATTAGGTTGCAAGGTGGGGGGGTGTGTGGAAGTGCAAGTGTGGACAGACACAAGGAACCGTAACGTGTCCGATCTCAAAGTGGTCGTGGTTGGAAATGTGAGACAGTACATTCTTGAAAGTGAAGCCAAGCAGCAAACATGAACGTGAATCTGATCAAAGAGAGTGGAATTGCCGTGAAGCCCGGCGGCATAAGTTGCAGGGAATACAGTGGTGAAACTAAATCCGTTAAGAGAATCCAAGGTCTGGTGGAGACGGTCGAGGCAGTTACACGAGTTCCGGAATGAAAACGGCGCCTCCTTGCGGAGGATCACACCCAGCACCCAAGTGGGACGACTGAGCGAGTCACACTCTGACATTGGTTTGCTGTTAACTCAGTTCCCAAGTCAAAGAAAGGTGGTGGAACATAAAGGCGAAGAGTCCAAGCATTTGTAGGTGTTTGAACAAAGTGGTTTCACACTTGACTGCGGAAGCTAGTTACTGCATTAGCCCTTTACTGCAAGAACGGTAAGGTGCAAGGGTCCGAAGAACAGAACTGTTTAACAAACGCACTAGCACTTTACCAAAGCTAAGGAAACCTGTTTTGGGGGATATCACGCGAACAACCACCATGGAAACAACAAAAGGAAAAGTGGAGTCACAGCGTGTGCAAAAGTTTTCATCCGTGCAGGTCCAGAAGTTTGCGTCCAAACTTCCATCCAGTCGATTTCCCTAGCTTCGTTGGCGTGACTAGGAAATCGACCGTCACGTCCCCTGCGACTTAAAAGTTGAGAAAAACAGAAACTCTTAGTTACAGAGGTGGACACACTTAGATTGTTGCTCGCAAGAGCTAGGATTAGTACGAAGTTCCCCTTGACTTGAAGAACCGAAGGAAGTGCAAACCGCAAGGTGGTAAAGTCAGTGGACTTGTAGGTGTTGAACACAGTTTGGTAATGCATTAGCGGCTTACTGCAAAACACAGGAATGGACAGCTTGTGCAACAGTTCAACTGATTAAATCACTGCAGATACAGACCAGGACGTCTCCCGATGCATCGCCAGAGAATGTGGACGTCTTCGTTGGCAGTGATTCCACACACTCTGTCACTGCCCCCTGCCTCTTTTTCTGCGTTGAGAAACTGTAAGTTAGTAGCGATACCAGGAGCCCTTAGTAGCAAAACCAGGGGCCCTAGTAGCGTTCTTTATGACTCAAAACCTTAGGCAGCGTGGACGCACACACGAAGCCGTACTCGGCGCACTGACCCTTGCTTGCAGTCTAGTAGCGTGGCCAGGAGTCGCTAGTAGCGTCCTTACACCCTGTAGAAAGGTCAGAGGTCCTGGTAGTACCGCCCTAGCTCCTGGTAGCGAGGCCAGAAGCCCCTAGTAGCGTCGTTGGTGTCCGCCGGTTGCAAAACTTTGTACACATAGCGCCAATATTGGCGCTTTTGTGAAGACTACTAGCGACCTAAAAAGCCTTACAAAGACAGAAAAAGCAAACAAAACAAAAGCAGACTAAGAGGGCAAGAAGGAAAGATAGGTGTAGTTACGAGGCCCACTTAGTTAAATGAAAGTAGAACAATAGAGTAGGAGAAACAGAAGGAAAGGCGCCAACACACAAGTGTGTTGAGTGCGATTTCCTTCCGTTTCCCGAATAGCGGGTGGGATAGCAACCGAGGCTCAGGGGCAGGGAGGTAGGGGGCAGGGTGGGTTAGGGTGGCCCGTAGGCCTTGCCATCATTGGCATTCAAGTAAAGCCGATTTGGGCCGGCGCACCCCTTGTCTGAAAGACACCTGGAACCTAAAGAAAGGCCTTAAGAAACGAAAAGCAACAAAAGGAGAGAAAGAACCGAAGAGCGTGAAAAACACATGTAGCAAAAGCACAGCGCTGAAACCCGCCTGTGAATACTTAGGCGCATGTTTCTATGATGGTGCAAATCCAGAGTGTAGATCACAGTAAGCCCTGCGGCATAGTATCAGTGGTATCGAGCAAATCAGCAGGAATCGAACGAAATGCCGAGGTGGAAGCAATCCCCCAGGATCTGGGTCTGTGCACATGCGGCGCCCCTTGACGGGGATCACACCGCAGCCCTCAGTGGGACCCTGTGGCGAAAACACACTTAGATTGTTGCTCGCAAGAGCTAGGATCAGTACGAAGTTCCCCTTGACTTGAAGAACCGAAGGAAGTGCAAACCGCAAGGTGGTAAAGTTAGTGGACTTGTAGGTGTTGAACGCATTAGCGGCTTGCTGCAAAACACAGGAATGGACAGCTTGTGCAACAGTTCAACTGATTAAATCACTGAGGGTGCACACCAGGACGTCTCCTGATGCATTGCCAGAGAATGTGGACGTCTTCGTTGGCAGTGATTCCACAAACTCTATCACTGCCCCTTGCCTCTTTTTCTGCGTTGAGAAGCTGTAAGTTAGTAGCGATACCAGGAGCCCTTAGTAGCAAAACCAGGAGCCCTAGTAGCGTTCTTTATGACTCAAAACCTTAGGCACAGGTGTGGACACACACACACACATATATAGACATATATATATATATATATAGGAGGGATTGTTGTTGTTGATGTGGTTCTTGTTGTTGCGGTTGTTTTGGTTGTGGTTTTCGGCTAGGTCGAACCCATCTTTGGGTTATGTGGGGCGGTTTTGGGGCGATGTTGAGCCGATGTTGGTTCATGTTGGGCTATTTAGGGCCTACGTTGGCCCACCTTGGGTCTATGTTCAACTACGACTTATGTTGGGCCATCTTGGGCCTATGTTGAGCCTGTCTTGGGCCTACGTTGGCCCATTTTGGGGTTATGTTGGTCTATCTTGGGGCTTGTTGGGCCTACGATGGAGATATTTTACATTTTTATATATTTATACGCGGTTGTTTCCGTCTCGGATTCCCTTTCCGATATTTTCATCACATATTGTTATTTTTTTAACGTCGCCAAAAATAAATTTGTGCTGTTTATCTCTGATCTTTTGCTTTTTAGTCGTTGCTATTATTTAACGACATATGAATCTTTTGAATTAGCCCGAATCCTATATTTATATATTAATGTCTTATTTTCTTTGGATATATGGTAGTTTTTCTTATAGATTATCCGACCATATATTTTAACCATATTATAAATATATGATTTTGGATGATTATTTTTTTAATTTTTTTAAATCGATTAATTTTAAAAACAATTTAATAATGTAAAAATATAATATTAATTAAATATAATTTATTTTATATTATGGGATGATATAGTTTTTTATTAATTAAATATTTTTGATTTCTTAGATATTATTTTCGAAAGCTAGCGAAGCTAGATGGAGTTATTCTTGCGATAATAAGGTTTCTTTCGATCGGGTGTAAATCCTAATCCCTGATTTTTTAGGTCGAAGAAACTCCAAATCCTAATTTTTGATTTTTCAGGTCGAAGAAACTCCCCTCCCTTCCTCTTCTTTTTCTTCTCTTCGTTTCCTCTCTTTACCTCCTTTCTCCCCACCTCCTTCTTTTCCTCCTTGTCTTCTTTCTATCTTCCTTCTTTCCCTCTTCCTTCCTTCTTCCCTCCTCCTTCTTCGTAAGTTCGACTCCGTCTTGTCGTCGCTTTTTGGCATGCGGTTAGCGTTGCGTATTTTGCGGCCGCATTCGTTTATTCTCACTCTCACTATCTCACTGTTTCTCTTATCTTTCTTATCTCTTTTTTATCTCTTTCATCTCTCTTTCTTCTCTCTCTTTCTCTTTCTTTCTCTCTCTCTCTTCTCTGTCTCTCGTCTTTCCGTCTCTCTTTTCTTTCTTCTCTCGCAGGAGGATCCGGGCAAAGAGCCATATATAAAGGACTCTTCACCCCTCCCTCCCAAAAAGAGCGCCGTGTTTTTTCTTACCTCGTTGCCTTCTATTTTCCCATTCTGGAGCGCTAGCTTTCGCCCCCCCCTTGGCCTCAAATATATATATATATTTTTTTAAAA